CTAGTCTAAGTTTCTTTCTAAAGACCCACTTAGAGTTTACTACCCTAAACCCTATAGGCAAATCTACCAACTCCCACACGTGAGTAGACATTATTGACTCTAGTTCTTCATTTATTGTGGTTCTTCAGAAACCAACGTCAATCAAACTTATAGCTTCATCATATGACTTTGGATCTTCATCTAATAGGAAAGTCTGAGCTATAGGAACAGAAATGATGACTAAATCACTTATTTCAGAAATAAAGAAAGTTAGTAAATATAGACCAAAGATAGTAGCTACCATTTGTCTTTTACTTCTTGTAGGCTCTAATTCTATCTCTAGAGTATCTCGGTAGGAATAGAAGAAGTTGAGGCAAGGTTTTGTACTTGTGTTTTAATACTTAATCTAGGTTTATTTAAAGGAAAATTATCTTTAAAGAATGCATCATCCCTAGATTCACAAATAGAAAAGTCATGTAAATACATAAATCTGTATATGTCACTTTTTGAAGCATAATTGATAAACACTGTATCAATGATTTTGGGACTAATGGTGGACTTATTAAAGCCATACATACCTACTTTTACCAAACACCCCCACACTTTCAGGTATTTGATGCTATTAAATAGTTACAACATTCAACGCAAGTGCATGTGTCGTATATCAAATAATAAAGTGGAAACTACAAGAGTTTCAAATGTCGAACACACAAAGAGTAAGAAATTACAACTTAGAATTGTTGATTCTTTGAAAAAGAAGTTTGGAATGAAATACTGATAGATGTATAGTAATAAAATGGATGCAGATGATATATGGAAATTTCTATTATGATCATGTGGTAAGCCTTACATTCATGTGTTAAGAAAAGATTAATAGCACTTAATTAATATGAATTAACCTTCATTAACTCAAGTAATTAAACAATTAATAATGCATAACATTGACAAAATACATCTCAATACACTAACTTGTTTTTCACATATACCTATGCTGGACAGAAGTTGTTGCAATATCCATAATACTCATTTCTAAATATCATAGATAAAACATACATAAAGATTATTTTAATTCTAAAAACATCTAATGAAGTTTAGCAACGCATAAAAGAAACATAAAAACATAAATCATAACAAGAAACATTAACACAAACATGATGTTCATGACCCAATAACATCCAAAACGTTCTATAAACAACCAAATTTAACTTGCTACTTTCCTATCTCAACGGAATAACAAGAATAAAAATGGATTTCCTCAATCATCGCTGCTATACGACAGTGCTCCCCAACTGCCGTAGCACTCCCTGGCGGTGGACTGAGGAAGCCATGAATGATTCAGACGATAAAATAAGTAAAGAAAATATTTAAAGATGAAATATTGGAATATCAAATGGTGTGAATGCCTCCTAAATTTATAGGATAAAGAAATCTACATTCACCTAATAAAAATGCTCCACGTATTAAGTGAATTGTAGCCCATTGACAGCTGGTTCCCAACCAGCTGTCCCATTCTAGAAAATTCCATTAACTGCCTTTGATTCAGAAGTTGCTTCTACCTACACACAACGACTGAGCAAACATTGCTTAACAGCATCACCTGCATCATACAACAAAGCCATATCATCAGTGTACCTGTACCAGATTTCAACAATAAATATCAGATTTAGCTCAAAGTTACCCAACCAACTCTCATGATGCATATATATAAAATTATGTACCAAAGATTCTAATATGCTTCTAATAATGCTTAAGTTCAAACTAAACTTAGGTAAAAAGAACATATATGATAACTCTTTTAGAGAGTTATCACACCCCCAAACCTAAGTGTTTGTTTGTCCTCAGGCAACAACCTATATGAAATGCAACTATAGATAAAAGTAATGCCATATAATAACATCATTAAATCACCTCAGAATTTTAATTTTTTTAACCCTCAGAATATTGCTGCAGTAGTATGTACATCATTAACACGATCTTAAATTAGGAAATACAATGTTAACTTGTTGAAATTAGAATCCAAAGAGTATATTAGTGTAAATGTTCATACTCAGTTAATGATTTTCAATGTTGTAGTAGTTATCCTAAACTAATGTTGGATCATTCCAACTTATTCATTTTCCTAAAACTATGTTGGAGCATTCTAACTTATTTACTAAAATGTTAGAGCCATTATCGACTATTCAACTTATTTAATTTTTTTACTACAACATTTAATAAAGATATGAGATTTAAAGTTAAAAAAATTCTAACGTCTCTAAGTATTGAGAACATATACTTATAATGTTCAAGGGTTTCTAAGGATTCTAACTCTAACAAGTCTCTAAAGCGTTTCCATAGCATTTCATAGTTTAAAATTTTTCATCATAAGGAATCCTCATAATTCTACTAAAGACTTTATTGATTTTATAATATTAAACATGTAGCATTATATATACAGTTCCTAAATGTTGTAATAGAATGCTAACAAAATGTCAAACAATGCAAGTCAACATGCAATACTTATACTAACTTAATATCCTAAACAATACCAAATATAAACAACACAAATGGACAACACCCCCTAAACTTAAGGGGTGCATTGTCCTCAATGCATGCAAACATAACATTAAAAACTAAAGTAAATAAAATGAGAGGGGACAAACGATACCCCTTAGGTAAGGTTCTTAATAACTCTCCAAAAGAGATATCTTTTAGGATCTTTTTACCTAGGCTAAGCTTGAACTTTAGCATCATTAGGATCAGTCTAGGTTTATTTTATCATATTCTACATCATATTCTAGATCGTTTGGGTTATTTTATGATATTTTACTATAATTTGGTACGCTGGTATTGTAAAATTATTGATGTTGCAGACATTGTTATGCATTGATGTTGTACTGGATTGCTGAGCCAAATCTAAAACAACTGATGACTCAGTAAGCAGTTATAAGAAAAATCTAGAATTGAAATGTTGTCCAATGCAACTATAAAATGGATGGAAAATATATGAAAATCATATTTTCCTATTAGTAGATGTTTTAACCTTTGGGGATTATGAGTAAGGTCTCCATTCACACTTTTCACACCATTCTTCAATCTTTCTTCATTTCCTTTTTATTTTGTTATTTCCTCCACCAGCCATGGAGGTATAAATCTGTCAAGGAGTGTAGTAGCAGTTGGAGTAGCCACGATGTCATAGTAGCGATGACCATTTAGGGTTCAAGCTTTCTATAGTTCTTTTACTTGAAAAAAGGGAAGAAATTTCTTAAGTTTGAATGATTTATTTTTATGGTGTTGTTTGGATTCGAACATAAGGCGTTTGATAAAATGTTTGTTTTATGATCTTTTCTTGAAATGATACTTTTATGTGTTGGAACTTCATTTAATACTTTTAGAAATAGAAATATCATTATGTTTGTAAATCTTTACTATTTTTAGATATAGAAATCATTGAGGTTGCATGCCATTTATGTACAATATTGGTATTTTTGAAAGTGAGTTTATGTATATGGAGATGTACACTATCGATTGTCGTTACTTTGTTAACTACTTGATTGATGGAGTTGGTGAAAATCAATTCTCATTGGTTAAGTGTTTAATCTTTGAAAAGTGATTAATGTGTTAATTATTGCATGATGCATAATAGTATTGTCACAACATAATCATACTATCAACTGCCAAATGATAACAACATTTATTGGTTCAGTGGTCAATTTGCTCTCATGTTTGCTACTACATTCAATGCCTTTAATATTCTAATTTTTTACCTTTGCAATAAACCTATCACTATTTCATTCTAAACTTATCTTTTGCAAAGAATCAACAATTCTAAGTTGTAATTACTTGCTCTCTATGGGTTCGACATACGAAACTCTTGTAGTTTCCACTTTATTACTTGATATACGACACATTCACTTGCATTGAATGTTGTAACAGTTTCGTAGCATCAATTTTTTGGTGTTGTTGTCGGGGAGCAATGGTATTGCATTAGAATTGTTTTCTTTGTTTTCATTAATTATTTTCCTTTTTTTAGGTAACTTATTTTTAGCATAGCATTGCTGGTGCATGACACACAACAACATCGAGGACTTAGAACCATTTGATTTAGAAATTGAGCAATTTACCTACCAAATGAGGCAACAACATCGACAATAACCAAACATGACTCAATATAGTGTTATGCTTTTATAAAATATTCCAATACCGTAGAATTACTACAACATTGACGATCGTAATAAGCCAATATGAGAGAATGTTGTGCCTACCTTACCTGATCTGAATCATGACATCGTTAGACCTACCATCCATGCTAGCCACTTCGAGTTGAGGCCTGTAATGTTACAAATATTTTAGTGTATGGGGCAGTATAATGGGTCAATTACTGAGGATCCTATAGCACACCTTAGAGCATTCTTCAAAGTGTGTGACTCTTTTGTACAGTAAGGGGTTCCTGAGGAAGCATTGAAGCTGAAGCTGTTTCCCTACTCTCTTCGTGACAAAGCCAAGGCGTAGCTTAACTTGTTGCTTCCTGGAGCTATAACATTATGGAATGAGCTTGCCTAAAAGTTTTTGTTACAATTTAATCCTCTCAACATGAATGCGAGAATGAGGAATGATATTGCATCTTTCAAGTAATTAGAGGATAAAAATTTGTATGAAGCTTTGGAGCAATTTAAAGATTTGTTGCACAAATGTCCAATGCATGGTTTACGATCAGAGAACATGTTGTGCCAACATTAGATGATTTAAACCCTGGGATTGTTCATCCGACAATTCATGCTACCCACTTTGAATTAATGGATCAGTATAGTGGGATGGACACCGAGGACCCTCGAACACACTTGAGAGTATTTACGGAAGTGTGTGATTCAATCATACAACAAGGAGTGCCCAATGAGGCCTTGAAGCTGAAATTATTTCCTTACTCTTTTCGCGACAAAGCCAATATATGGACCAACTCGCTGCAACCTGGTGATATAGCATCTTTGAATGAACTTGCCCAGAAGTTCTTGTTGCGATTCAACCCTTCCAACATGAATGCAAGGTTGAGAAACGACATCACATCTTTCAAGAAAATAAAAGATGAAAACCTTTATAAAGCTTGAGAGTGATTTAAAGATTTACTGTGGAAATGTCCGATGCATAGTTTCCAATATTCAAAGCAAATAGAGATATTCTAAAATGGGCTTAACATGCAAACAAGGATGATTGTAGATGCTTATGTCAATGGAGCATTGTTGGAAAATTCCTATAACGAAGCTTATATTATCTTAGAGAGGATTTCCAACAATGACTATCAATATCCTAATACAAAAATTATATAGGGTAGATGCGTTACTGTAGTAGTGGACAACGATGCTCTGAACACATTGACCGCGTAAATGACATCATTAATTGAAATGATAAAAAGATGCAAAAACCTGGAGGTATATATGAAGTTAAATAAGTATCCATTATTACTTGTGTTTATTGTCGTGCTAATCATAATTTTCACGAATGTCGACAAAACCTCAAGTCTATGTATTTTATGAGAAATTATAATAGAAATGACAATGCCGACACATATGAAAAATCTACAATCTAAATTTTTAGAATTATTCCAATCCCACTACGACATTATAATTAAATTTTGGGAATACACAACATTATTCACAATAACAATATACTCAACAACATCCAATGCTAAAACATCAATAGTCACGTCATCAGGCAAAACCATAACAACAACACAACAACCAACAAGGTTATCAAGGGTAGACTTCTAACAAAACTTCAACATCACTTGAGTCTCTACTAAAGGAGTATATCTCAAGAAATGAAGCGACAAATCAAATGAATGAAGCTTTGATCTAAAGCCAGTCAGTATTGTTGAGAGCACTAGAGAATCAAGTTGGACATATAACAAATGTACTCAATAACAAACCACAAGGAGCATTTCCAAGTGACACTGAAGTTTTGAAAGATCATTACAATGAGCATTGTAAAGCTATCATAACACGTAGTGTACTCCACCTTGGAAAACCAAATGATGATAACAAAAAGAATGAGGGTGAGAAGCATGGATAGCAAGCAAATAGCGAGTTGGGATTAGAGATTGCGACACCCAGCGTGGATGCTACAACAATGGATGCAGGATAGAGAAGTAATTCTAGGACATTGCCACCAACAATGCCGACAACAATGTCACATGTGATGCCACCAGCATTACCCGTGTAGCATAATCCAAGACCTCCACCTCTATTTCCTTAACGATTCTAGAAAAGCAAGGAGGACTAACAATTTAGAAAATTCATTGATGTGTTACGATAATTGCACGTTAACATACTAGTGCTAGAAGCATTAGAGAAAATGCCAAACTACGTTAAATTTATGAAGGATATATTTTCCAAGAAATGTAGAATTGGTGATTTTGAGACCTTTTCAAATATGGTATTAATGACTGCATATGAATACTGTTTAGCTATGTATTTATGTAATTATTTATACATGCATTGCATTTTATCTATATTTTAAATTTTTTGACTGCCGGAGGTCTTTCACGGAAGCTATTCTCAACCTGGCGTTGGGGGCAGCCTACTACCCTACCTCCCCCTTACCCCATACATATGGGAATTGGGTTTTGTTGTTGTTGTTGTTGTTGTTGTTGTTGTTGTTGTCACTCACTGAAAGGTGTAGCACCATTGTCACATGCAAATTGCCTCTAAAGTTAAAAGGTCAAGGGAGTTTTACTATTTATTACACTATTGGTGATTAATACATAAGTAGAGCTTTATGTGACTTAGGTTCTAGCATCAAATTAATGTTGTTGCCTATTTTTAGGAAACTTGGGATTGGTAAAGCACAACCCACAATAGTTACACTTCAACTTGCCGACTAATCCACTGTCTATCTTGAAGGAAAGATTGATGATGTACTAGTACGAGTGGAAAAATTTATCTACCCAATATACTTCATTGTCTTAGATTGTGAAGCTGACAAAAAGATGCACATAATTCATTCCTTGCTACTGGACGAACATTGATTAATGTAGAAAAGAGAGAACTCATATTGTGTCTCAGTGACCAACAAATTACATTCAATGTGTTCGACCCACTACAATGTGATGAAGATGACGAAAGTCATGTTGTTGATATTATTGAAGCAATAGTACAAGAACAATTAGATGAATGTAGGATCATTGAAGAACTCTTTAATATTAATGTGACAAAAAAAGACTCAGACAAGCTAGACCATGAAGAGACTATGTCAATCAAGGGGAACTAGTGCTTCTACATTGAGTACTTGAAGGCAACAAGGAATATTTCACACGGCTTTAACGATGAAGGCTCTCATCTAAAAATTCACCCCATGAAGCCACAACAAATCTATTGTGACAATGAAGAAGTGCACTTCATGACTAATTCCAGCAAGCAAAAGTTTTGGTTCGAACAATGTTTTGATCCCACTAGCACAAAGGACCTGAAGTTGCATGATTAGTTTACATCAACCTTCGACAACCAAACATTTTACTGGGACCCAAGAGAAATTACCGCAAAATTTAATTTCATTATGTGAAAATATTTTTTTACATGATTTAAATAAGTTATTTTATAACATTAGATTAGATTTTGTTTTTTAGTTTTATTTAAGTCTTTTATCTTGAGTTTTTTTAGATGATGCCCCCATATTGATCACCACATCATCCTTAGATTCTTACTGTTATTACTGCTCACAATGTCACAACATAAGCTTGAGATGAAAATTTCACCAACCATTGTCAACCCAACTCACCAGAAATGTGTCGCTATCCCTATTACATTCTCTATTTAAATTCATGTTTCTCTTTTGTCCGCATGCATTGAGAGCAATGCACATCTCAGGTTTGGGGGTGTCTTGTTCGTTTGTGTTGTTCATTGTTATATGCATTTTTCATGTTAATATTTTTTGTTGTTCATTCGAGCTTTCCATGACATTACTTGTCACGACATTTAGATAGATAAACAATTGCTGAGACTTTGCATTTACCTATGATGAGATAATTGTCGATAGAATTCTAAGGCCGAGAATCCTAGAATGTAAAGATAACTTGAGATTGCCTTGATGATTCTTGTGATGCTATAATTATTTACTGAATATCGTGCTTAGTTGACTTATGGGTATTTTGGAGAATAATTAGTTATCTTGCATGTTTAAAAAAAATTTATCTAAGTTTTATGTGAAATGCTAGAGGTGCCTAACTGGCTCTATCGGAATAAATTGCCCACGACAATCTTTTGTCTCTAGAACATTCTACTGCTAAGGAAAATTAGGTACTCTTAGTGAATAATAAGTAGGAATAATAGTCTCGAATAGCATGAGTGAATGAAACTCTTCCCGGAATGACTCTACCCAAAAGGCTAGGGGTTCATTGTTGACAACATCTTAGTACTCAAGTACTGGCAGGTAGTTGTAAAGAGTTGAAGCTCTAGTTAATCTAAATAGTAATTGTTGTGGCATCTTTTACTTTATTAATTACTTTGATAATTATAATATTCTCTGCAAATACCCATGGTGGTGAACTGACATGACTAAAAGCACACACATGCACGAGCATTAAAAGTTGATTTGAGTTTATTTCTTATTGTGTTGACATTTGAAGATGATTGGAAGAAAATTGCCAAGGTTCTGAGGTGACAAGTGCAAGACAAGGGTAAATGTTATGATGTTTAATTATTGAGGAAAAGTTATTGTCATGCATTACTTGAGGACGAATAAATACTTAGGTTTGGGGGTGTGATAACTCTCCAAAAAACTTATTATTTAAGGTATTTTTACTTAGGTTTTTTTTTTTTTTGCATTTTAGCATATTAGGATCATATTTAGAGTGTTTTTAGTTAATTTTGCATTACATGCATTGTTAGAAGTGAGTCGGTAATTGTTGGACTAATTATGATATTTGTTGTGAAGTTGTCTGATGCTGCAGTTGTTGTATGTTAACACTAGGGAAGATTATTGAGCCATTGTTGTAGTAATCGATGCGCGGGTAGAAAGCTATTGACAACTAGACATAATCCTATTATAGAAAGAATTGAAAAGTAAAAGGAAGTATCAATTTCATGCGGGCTTAAACTCTACTTTTTAGGGTTTTTAATTATTATATAGAGGAGGTGGGTGCACTTAATTAAAGGATAACTTTTTAGGGTTTTATTTTATTATTTTATGTTCTTCACCATTATTCATAGCCGCTTAAGCAATTTTGGGGAAGAGCATCAACTAGACATGAAGGCAAAAGTCATAGTATCGAGAATGGTGACTGGTGATCGGTGACAACATCAACAACAACAACGATAAAATAAATTCGAGGGGTTTTATTTTTAATTTTTGTTTAGTTTGGACTACTCTTTAATTTGTGTGGGATTTGATAAACATGGATGCTTATATTTTTAAATAAATTTTATGAAGTTTGTGTTTAATTAATTTTATTCATTGATTCGATTCAAGTTTGCTCAATTTCATTAAGGCTTATAGTATATAGATATATAATTTCCAATTTAATTGCATCGAGAGGTGAATGGCATTGTGTGAGTATCAACAATTGCAAGCGTAACGTTTCACTGTAAATAGATCTAGATGACTGATTGTTGTAGCATACTTAGTAAATCTGCATAAGTGGGTATAGAGATATAACACTATTGTGAGTTTTTGGGTGGAGCATCGAGAGAGGAAAACCTGCTAAGTTAATGCTAGATGGATCGATCTTATTGATGTGACATTGTTAATTGCATGATTGAGTTTAACAATACCTTAAGTTTTAGTTTGAACTAATCCACTAGTTTACTTTCCACTGTTGTGATTCCCTTCATGCCTTCATATCTTTATTCCCATATTTATTTAGCTATTATTTTTTCATTTCTTTGTTCACAGCAGCGTATACACAATTATGTTATTTTACTTAATGTTATGACAATTCTTTAACTAATACTAGTCTCTGTGGATACGATACTCGATGCATTAATTTGCGTCCACTTTATTAATTGATAAGATAATGTATGCTTTCACTGATTATTGTTACATTATTTGAAGCATTGACTTGTATTCAAACATCTAGAACTTGAGCCACTCGCTGACCACGTACTTCCTTATACCGACATCATTAGCTCCATGTTGGAGTAAAATCTATATTTGTGGGTG